CCCACACATATATCTCACCTGGCATGCAAGATAAGGAGTACTTGAAGGGACAGTCACGAGCCAGTGTGTACACCTCCGGTTTTGATCCTTTGAGAGACGTGGGTGTTGAGTATGCACACAAGTCGAAGGAAGCTGGTAATGAGATTGCCTGGAGGCATTACGATGGCATGACGCATGGGTGGTTGCAGATGACCGCTTGGAGCGACGAGGCCAAGGATGCAGTCAAGGATGTGGCGATGGATTTAAACAAATTCACTTATGGAGAGTGGGAAACAACAAGCTGTATGCTGTAAGGAAGAATGATTTTGTGCTTTTGTTGGTAGCCATCACTGTCTACCGTCTACTCTCTATTCCACATCCAATCCACCATCTGGTCAGGCCACAACATCAATGATGTATTGAACGCCGCCAACACGCCGCCAACAAGCCAGATTCCATGCTGACTGAACAGATATAAACCGACAAAGGTCTGCAATGTCCACTTCCACCCCATTCATGATCCCCTGTAGATGTAGTCATTGCATCCTAGTCAGGCCTAGGGCTCAAGAAGGTCTAACCGTGGAAGCCAAGCTGGCTGAGCTCCTTGCGGATGGACTCCTCGGTACCAATCTTCTTGATCTGAGTGTCTTCGAGCTTCTCGCCGCCAGCTTGCCTCATCTTGAGCTCGTCGATGGCGCGAACCTTCTTGAGCAGGCCGCGGATCTTCTTATCTTGAGGATTGCTACCGTCGCCAGGGCTGGTGACGGTAAGATCAGGAGCGGGGGCGTTTGCGGTCTGGACTGGAGGAGGAGCTCGGGCATCCTGGCTGCGCTGCTGCTGCTGGCCATAGCTCTGGCGTTGTTGGCCATCTTGGGGTCGGGCACGGCGATCGGGGCTGTTACCGTACGGTCGTTGCTGACTGGGGCTCCTGCCGTTTGCGTGGCCTCCATTGTTGCTGTGGCTACGCTGACGGCCATCACGGTTATCGCGACGCTCAGGGCTTCGACCGGCTGGCCCAGTGGGCGCGTCGGCAGTCAGACCAGCTGCCTTTTCGGCGGCCTCACGAGCCTTCTTCGCTTCACGCTTCTTCTTGTTCTTCTGAGCCGCCTTTGACAGCTCTTCGCCTTCTCCGGTACCCGAAAGGCTGACGCCGCCACCAGGGGCAGCGCCTGGGAGCAGGTTCGCAGCAGGCTCAGCGCCAGGCACCTGACGACGGCCGCCTCTGCCAAAGCCATTTTGGAAGCCAACATTGCTCGAAGAAACGCCAGTATTGGTATATGCTGCTCCACCCTCGTCTTCACGCTTGAACATGAGAGGAGTGGCGGTTCCTCGCGCACCAGGGGGACGGTAGGCACCAGCTGGCTTGGAAGGAGTCTTCTGAGTGGCGGTGAATGCCGCTGCTGATGGATGGGGTGCGGGCGCAGTCAGCACGTTATCCAAAGAGTGCTGCTGAGGCGACTGCGGGCGCCAAGTAACGTGGTACAACTCAGTCATCTCCTGGTTGTACATGAGAGGCCCAGTAACATGATAAATGCGGATGCCGTTGTCGACGCGAAGACGCGGGCTGGTAGTCGCTGTAAGAATGTGTCTGCCGTCAGGGCTCCACTCGCAGTATGTGCAGTTGGCGGCCTTGATGGTTGTGACCTTGTGATAGTTCCTCTCCAGATCATAGATGTCCATATCTCCAGCCAAGTTACCAAATCCGGCAACGAACACGAAGCGACCGTGAGGTGAGAAACTGATAGTGTTCCTTGGGCCTAGATCGAAGCTGTGTTGAGGAACAGCGCGAGCATTGAAGATGGTGGTCTTCGCAGGCATGTAGCCATAGACGACACCAAACTCTTTCGAGTTTGGCGACCACGAAACATCGTGGATAGGACCCTCTTTATCAAGCTGGATGCGCGAGTCGAAAGAGCCATTAGAGCTGAGAATGTACATGTTGGTCTCGCCGTAGTAACTCTTGTTGGTCTTGTCGACATCGGTCTGGGCCAATACGATCACGCTGGTACCCAGATCGTTCCACTTCAGCTGGACCTTGTCGCTCTTGTAGAATGTCTTCTGCGAGACAGGAGAGTTGAATTGAGGCACCTGGAAGACCTTGACTGCGGCGGGCATACCCTATCGTGCTTGTCAGTCATGCCTCATTATCGTCAAACCTCAAACGTACCTTGCGCTCCGGAACAAAAACTGCAACTGAATGGTTCTTTCCAGGCGATAGAGCGAAGTCCGTCACTCCCTCCACGCGCAGCTTGTTCCAGGGGTTGCGCAGATCATCAGACTGGAAGAACTGCACCTCGTTGGTGACAGATCGTGCGCAGAACTTCTCGTCAGGGGAGTACTGCAGATTCCAGCCGGTCTGGGACTTCTGCACGTACTCACCAACCACTGTTCGCTCTGCCTCGGACTCGTCAGGAACAGTCTTCCAGACCTTCAGGTTCTTCTTCGCGTTGCCATCTTCGTCCTTCGAGGGCAGCTGCCATGTAATGATGTAGGTCCCCAGCGGCGAGAAGCCGAGCTGGAAGACGTTAACTGCAGGGACGGTCGAGACAAGGTTGCCGCTCGAGGCGTCGATCACCGAAACCCTGTCGCAAGTCTGTCAGCGAAAACTTCCACTGCTGTTGAGGATGAGCCTTACTGTTCAGGCGACGCCCAGGCGAAGTACCTGCTGTCCGGCGAGTAACATTTGCAGCGAAGGTTGCCCTCAGGCCTGAGGCATCAATTAGCATGTTGTCGTCCAATGGTAGGCTCAAGGGACGTACGGGGTGAAACCCGGGAGAGCCTCGTATGCGGGAGCCGCGTTGAAGACCCCGATGCCCTTGGAGGTGCGATCTAGCAAAGCGCATTAGCGTGACTCCAAGTCTGCCAGCGCTGCGGGACATACAAGCCAACTGTGTGGGGGCCGCCATGACTAGTCAAAGTCACAGTGGATGGTACAGTGATGGTGGAGGGCAAGGTGCTGGTGGTCGTGAGTCTGGCTTTGCAGCTGGGTGGTTGCGTTGGCGGTGAGAAAGGCTAAGTAAGACTGAGACACGTTCGCGTGTGCGCGAGTGACGTATCCCGGAGACTTGCTAGTATCTTTGTGTGGCCAAGGGCAGAAGAGCAGAGGGGCAGACTTGGGGAGACGACCACGCAGCGGCAAAGGGGCGCGGGGCTTGTCGACGTCGCAGCGGAGGTCTGGGGGGATGTTCGTGACAGTCACCAAATGTGAATGCAAACAATTCGCCATGGCACGAGGCTGTCGCGCTAAGGCGTCGGCCCGTCATGATCCGCTCCCTCTGGTACTCACACATGTGAATCCACTAGTCATGCACCGTGGGGTGGACATTGGACACTTTTGCATCCGTCCGAGCATCTCACAACATCAGGATGTTGCAGCGAGCACATATGGCACAGCTGCTTGAAATGTCGAAATTCCAGCCCACTATCGCTATCTTAGCGCGTCGGCCGTAGCCGCTGATGCTATCACGTGCTTCAGAGCTCCATCTTCCCCAGCCCGATTGCATGCTCCTCTGCTTCTCTCCACCGCCAACGTGAGCGCTCACAGGACGGCAAAATGCCAACCTCAATGCCATGTCCGTCTATACGAATACCAATGGAGCTCTTGACACCAACTGCCTTTACACAGTTCGGCACTGTGATTGAGAACCCCGCAACATCTCCAAGCTCCAAGCTGCCCATACCGCAACGCATACCGCCTCCCAAACCCGTCCAGGCCAACCAAGGTTCTGCTACAAAGTATCTAGATGTTACACACATGTCGAATCTCTACAGTCTAGCTCCATCCAAGAAGCCCGCAAAAGCGGTGATGAACATGTTTGTGTGCTCGCCGCGCAACCTACGAAGCAATGAGCCAAGTGAGAGTATACCCAGTTCATGGGGCGATCTTGACCTTGACGAGGATGAGGATAGCGATGGGAAACACGATAGGCAGTTACTGGACGTGACCATCCTCGAGAGACACCCGTTCACCACCCAAACATTCATCCCAATGGGCCTTTCGCAGCAAGACAAGCACACTCAATACCTGGTCATCGTCGCACCAACATTACCAGCCAGCGCGTCAAAGCGACACAGGGGCCGACCGCCTCCGTACCCAACACCCATGGTAGAAAGGAAAAAGAGCTTTAGAGACATATTTGCGAGGGCGCGACCAGCACCGTACTCCACCGAAGCCATCCCACCACCGTCGCAGTTTGAGAAACTGCATCCGTCCGCGCGACCAAAGGGCCCTGGGCTACCAGATCTCAAAAACCTCCGTGCGTTTGTAGCTACAGGATCTCAAGCTGTAACCTACGGGGCAGGCACGTGGCACGCGCCTATGATTGTCATCGGAGACCGACCCATAGACTTTGTTGTCGTGCAGTTTGCCAACGAGGTCGGCATCGAGGATTGCCAGGAGGTGACATTGCAGCCTGGCAAGCTTGCACAAGAAGGCGTCGTGGTTATGGTAGATACTGATAGCGCGGGCAAGGTGCAGGTGAAGGCTGGCGTTGGGTCTGTAAAAGCAAAGCTGTAGTGTTTCATCTCGCCAATGTTTAGCGTGTTTTTGGAGGAGTAACGCATGTGTGAAGCAGTAGTGTAACATCGCAAAGAAATACTGCAGTGCCGTGGGCAGGATAGTTGTGAAGGGAAAATGCCAGCGCCACAAAGGCAGCGAACGGAAGTTCACTGCACTTGTTAGCGCTATGCAGAAAGATACTGTAAAGGGAGAATGGAGATACTGGACGCAAATAAGGCTAGGAGTAAGCCATGTTGTAGAGGCACCTTTGGTCTGAAATTCCAAGATCTCTAGGGCTGACAGATCTGCGTCCTTGATCTAGTCTTTCTGTGTCATGAAAGCTAGATCACACAGTCTTTTGATGTCACGCTTGGTGATGTACCCTCTCTGCTAGTGACACAACTCTCCGCAACGCAAGGGCCAACACCGTAGATTTCATTCCCAGGTTCGATCTTCGTGTTTACGGCAAAAATCTAAGTTACGACACGGACAGTATAATGAAGACATTGATTGAGCAAAAAAACGACGTTGGCAGGGTTCGAACCTACGCTCCCGAAGGAAACAGATATCAAATGAATTCAAGTCTGTCGCGTTAACCACTCCGCCACAACGCCTAGTGATCCAATGATCGATAAGAAATTAACCCTAATAAATAATATATATCCTACTATTTACAATGCTGTCTCCAGCGGCAGTGTACAGTCCTCAAGAAATGCATGGTATCACATCGACGCCTTAGACTGGTTCACTAGCGCTCGCTACCTCATTAGTCATCTAAAGACTAGACTTCTCACTCAGCGACCACGTCCCCTTCTCATCACGAATCACCTTCCCTTCACCCTTCAGCTTATCGAGAATCTGAAGCACGCCCTTCTCAGCCGGCTCCCATAGACTCTCGGGGTAGTCTTTGTAGATGATTTTCACAATATTCATCGACGTCCACCCAGCCTCCTTCTTCTCTGTAAGCACACCAAGGACTTGCTGCTCGCGCTGTTTCCTGTGCTTGATGTACTCACCGATCTTCGCTGGACCGTCGTCAATGACTGGGCCATGACCAGGGTATGCGCGACCTTTGAACTGCTTGGACATGCTGTCTAGACTCTTCATGTACGTTGCGAGGTCTTCAAACACAGCAGTACCCTGCCCTAGCACGTTGTCGGCTGTGAACATTGAATCCTCTTCCTCTAGTACGAAAGCCATATGATCTGTGGTATGCCCTGGGCAGTGGAAGGCTCGAAGCGTTGCACCCTCGGTTTCGAATCTCTGCCCGTCGGCTATGTCGAGCCATTCGCCATCTGAGTCCTTCTTGTGTACTTTGGTGTCTGGAGAGTGCTTGAGTAGGTGAGGTACACCCTGGACGTGGTCGGGATGCCAGTGTGATAGGAGCACTTTGTCGATTGCTATGTTCTGCTGCGCAAGTGTCGACTTGATCGACTGTATCCATTGCTCCTTGCCCTCGCCAGTGTCTATCAGCAACCGCTTCGCGCCAGTCCCGACAATGTACGTGTTCGTGCCTGTTTATGACGTTTAGTAGGTCGTTGGCAAAGCGACACGGTGATTCGGACCTTGCAAGGTGAACTGTACAGCACGTCAGAGCTTCACACCAACACCGCAAGCCCGCATTGCGCTTACCTTTGAAGGATTACCTCCAAGAACACGGATGACCCGATCGCTGAGCTTCTCAACATCAGGAAGAGGTACCAAACGATCAGCCATTTTCGAGTACAGCCTGCGCGACGTCAAGCGAGTCAGACACTGCAGCCGCGGGGACATGTTCACCTCACTTTGTCCTACAGCTCCTCGTAATCGTTACCGAGGCTGGCGCTTATCTTAGCGTCACTTGCACAACAAATGGCGAAAGTGTAGACTATCCCCTTCAGGAACACCACATAAAATCACTTTATCGAGGCCAAGATGCCGATTGACGACTCTGACGATGACATGCCGTACGTTGCACCTTCTTGAGTGTTTTCAAGTGCTAAGCAAAGAAGACAGCTCTCTGGCGGGGCTCTCGACGCGCTGAAAGAATTTTACGGCGAGCGAGACGCAAGACAAAAGCAGTTCGAAGCTCTCAAGGAGCAGGCTGAGGATGATTTCGACGGGAAACTATCTATGGATGCGTTTACTGAAGATTGGAACGTGAGCCAGTTTTGGTATAGCGATGACACTGCCACGGTCCTTGCAAGGCAGCTCTTGGATGGCGCGACAGACGACACCAAGATTGCGGTTGTTTCGGCACCAAGTGCATTCATCCAGCTGAAGAACCTACTGGTGTGTGGTGTAGCATAATCTCACTCGATAACGCTAATCCACGCATAGGCGTCTGGAGAGTACAAGTGCAGACCACAGATCAAGCTACTCGAGATCGATGAACGGTTCGCGGTGTTCAAGGAATTCGTTCACTACGATTTTGAGAAGGCGATTCAGCTTCCCGCTGAGCTCAAGGGCTCGTTCGATCGTATCATTGTTGATCCACCCTTTCTGAGTGACGATTGCCAGACAAAAGGTACCATGAACAGCCCAACAGAGAAATGTACAATTTCACTGATACCACATAGCTACATTAACAGTGCGATGGCTAGCTAAGGGGTGGACACCTGAGTCTGTGCGGATCATTGCGTGTACAGGAGAGCGTATGGAGAGCATCATCACCGGCAAGCTATATGGAAAGGTTGGGGTCAAGACTACAGACTACGACATCAAGCATGCCAAAGGTCTGAGTAACGAGGTAAGTATTTGTGAGTCGTGCAGCAAACATGTACTAACAGCGAATAAGTTCAGAACATACGCCAATTTCGAATGTGATTCTTGGAAATGGGCGAAGTCGTCGTGATAGCACGAGGTTTAGTGCAATAGACGTCAAAATGAATAGCTCCAAAGGAATCTTCATCCTATTATCCAATCAATCTTGCGCTGCAAAATGAGCATTTCAACACTGCGTTATTGAGGTCCACACATCAGCTACCCCGCCTAACCCCACCAAGATGAAGCTCGGGCCAACTTAGCTCAGGTCCGCAGCGCCGAACATCTTCCATCACGTCACACCCGACATAACAATTGAGTACCACAATGGCCGCCTGCATATTCTGCAAGATTATCAAGGGTACTGGCCAAGCATCCTTGCTCCTTGACTCGTGCCTGACATGTAATTAGGAGAAATCCCATCCCTGAAGATCTTCGAGAGCGAGAAGACGCTCGCCTTCCTCGACATCGGGCCACTGAGCAAAGGACACTCCGTACATCCCCCTTGCCCTTTCCCGTCTCGCATCATCGCACAAACCGCTAACGAAAATTGACCAGCTCATCATCCCCAAGCATCACGGCGCCAAGTTACACGATATCCCCGACGACCAGCTGTCCGAGGTGCTCTCGGTGACGAAGAAGATTGCCATTGCGCAGGGCGTCGAGAACTACAACATCCTGCAGAACAACGGAAGGATTGCGCATCAGGAGGTCGACCATGTGCATTTCCATTTGATCCCGAAGCCGAATCAGCAGGAGGGGCTGGGCATTGAGTGGCCGACGCAGAAGGGGGACCAGACGGAGTTGAAGAAGCTGTTGGAGGAGATTAAGAGCAAGATGTAGAGGGTATTTATCAACCATGTCAGGTCACGATATGAACGCTATCTGCTCAAAAAGTCAGAGTTGAGAGCCATTGTTCCGATATTGCAGCATGCCTTCTACGTGCTACGAGCTCGTAATCCCCAACTTTCGTATGCTTACTCCCCCTTGAAAACAGCCTTCCTCTTCTCCCTGAATGCAGCCAGCGCCTCATCCCTATCCTTGGTCTTGACAACCAACTCGTACGCCGCATTCTCCGCCTTCTCTCCCATCGCGCAGCCCTCGACCGCAGCCAACGCGGCCTTGATCGCAACCGGTCCGCCCTCACATATCGTAATTGCAAGCTGTACTGCCTCGTTCAGCACCTTCTTCCTCGCCGCACCCTCCTGACCCTGCTCCTCTGGCGTAATCTCCACCAAACGATCGCACAGCCCCAGGAAATACGCTTCCGGTGCGCTGACCCTCCTCCCTGTAAGGATCATGTCGCGCGCGCGTGCCAGGCCAATCAAGGCGGGGAGACGGTATGTGCCTCCCGCGCCCGGGATGATCGCGAGTCTTGTCTCAGGGAGTGCGACAGTCGTAGTGGAGCCAAAGACGCGCATGTGTGTTGTCAGGGCGAGCTCGAGGCCGCCGCCGAATGCGGGTGCCGCCAGGGCGGATATTGTAGGGATAGGGAGGTTTTGGATCGAGGTGAGTGTGCCACGGAGGGAGGTGAGGAAGTTGGAGGTGCTGGAGTTGCGTGTTAGCTTCAGACTTTTACATAGACGAATTGACTTTACTCTTCTTGCGTGAAGGTAGCCCTCTCTTTCAGGTCTGCGCCCGAGCAGAAGCTTGTGTCGACCTCACTCGCCAGAATCAATGCTCTTGTAGGCCCTGCCTGTCCTTCATTGTGGATGCTGGCGATCTGCTGATTGAGCTCCGAGAGCAATTGTCTTGAGATCGCATTGCGCGCAGCAGGTCTGTTCAACGACAAGATTCGAATGCTGCCGGAGTGCGGTGCAGGATAGTTGACAACGTTTATGACGGACGATTGTGCGCTTGAGTATGCGCAGCGTTGGATGGGGCGGGCAAAAAGCCTCGAGGTTTGTCGTAATAAGTATGGCATCCTGGAGGTATACAATTCGCAATTGTTGTGGTTCCTTCGGTGGAGATTGAACTGTTTGGAAGCTTGAGCTCAAACCCGCTGGTAGCCTTAACCGAGGCGTTGCTGTCCCAGCCTTGCCGTCAACACGCTCACCCGGAAACAGACCCACCTCGCTTCACCACCAAGGTGTCATCAGCATATCAGCTGTCTCCTGTGCATCAGAATCTCAGCTAAGATGAATGTCTCATGGACGCTGCCAAAATGCCTTGACGACTAGACAAGCTGCCATCCGAATTGAGAAGGCTGATTGTATCCTCTTTGTTTCAAGCAGATCTGTGGGCGAATTAAAACCAACCCTCAAGAACGCCGCCCTGGCGCAACAATATCTTCATGAATGGACTAGCAAAAACTTGTTCGAAGAAACGGCACTGCTAGAGGTGAAACCAGGCAATTCGTGCCAGCTGAGTTACTGTATCGACCTTCTACTTGCTGAACATCCATAAATACGTCCAGCGTTACGTCAGGAATGAGTCTCGATGGAGCATGAACCGACAAGGAGGCGAGCTATATGCAGCGTCTCTGTTCCTTATCAAAGTGCCATCGATTGAAGAGATGACCGCTGAGCAAGATCATCACTATCAACAATATCACAAGGGCAATAGTGGAAAGTTTTCAAACAAATTTCATTTTACATCCACTGGCTCTGCAACGGTAACCTCCCGATAGCAGTCACTGTTATCAGTGACAAGACTAGAGCCGGGGTTGTGCTCTTGAGGTCGGCTGAAAAGTATGTATTCGACAACGAGTGGGATTGCCAGCTGATGTATCAACAATTTTCACATGTCACTGTAAAACGATCTTGGTAGGTATACGATGCGACGTATGAGAGGTGTCAGATGGTATTCCATCAGTTGAACCAATTTACGCAACGCTCACAACGATCTTTCCTCTCACTCTACCTTCAACCAT